TAAATAAAAGTATTCTAGAACATTTCAGTCAAAACCTTGAGTAGATATGTGACAGTGCTGCCATACAGTTCCTGGTTTAAGTCCTGCTTCCGATGCAGCTCTAACATGGCCCCTCAGAGCTGGCCATGAAGCTGTTAGTGGGTGTGTCGTGAGAGCTAGCGTTTGCTGCGGAGGAAAGGACTTCTTCAAAACTGCCTCCAGTCCCTGTACCTCCAACCTTTGTCTGTTAGAAGACACAAATGCAGAAAATCATCAACACCTCTCACACTACAGTGTGTAAGAGGCCTGGAATGACGTTATACTAGTGTTTTCCATAAACAAACTGATGCTAAATGTAAACTTTTCAATAACTAATTTAAACACCTTTTATTTTAACAATGGGGATTTCAGTCTATCATCACTTAATAATGCAAAGTCTCTCTTTCTCTCACACACACACACACACACACACACACACACACACACACACACACACACACACACACACACACACACACACACACACACACACACACACACACACACACACACATTTACCTTGAGAGTGGACACTGTAGTCTCAACTTTCTCCTCAAATGACCTGAAGCTAGGAGAGTTTCTGTAAACAACAAAAACGTCCTTGTTTACTATTTTAGAACAACTTATTTGGCAAATATTTTTTCTGAAATAGCACACGATGGGGGGACTCACTAATGAGCTGTCTGTTAAAAATGACTGCTGCATGTTTTGCATTGACAGCACTGTCAATGAACCAGTATGTACTTTCTGTATAGGCCTACATACAGATACTTAAGTGAGCTATAGTAGCGAAAGCAACTGAAAACAATATGACGGTAGGAGGTGAGGTGTAAGCAGGTCTCAGCTTAGATGAAAACATCGCTGGTATTTTAGTTTTCCCAGATAAAGGTTATGTAAATTCTTGCATTAAAAATAAAACAAAATGCAATACAAAGACAGAAACCATATTAAATGACACACACACAAGCGCAGTGTGGTTACCTCATGGTGGGCATGCTCATAGACTGCCTGACAGAATAGCTGTCCCCAGAGAGCGTGGTGAGAGAGGAGTTAATGATTAGCACAGGACACACACACACACACAGCCAGAGCTGAGGTGACCCACAGAGTTAACAGGAGAAAACATTGTTTCTAGGTTTCCTATCAATATTGCGCACAGAGTTAGCTCTAGATGCCCTGATAGAGGATGAAATAAGAGATCAGGTTAAATGTGAAAGACACACTGGCAGGGTATGCACCGTTTGGCACTACTCCTATTTCACCTACTGTATATCATACACGACTCCAACTCCAATAAATTTAATTAATCTTTAATTTGTTCAGCAAAATACTTGACACATGGTCTTAAATCAGTCTCAGCCTGTATTAGTTTAGCTTTAGCACAACCAGGGATGTGCAGGAAAGGTCATGACTACTGGTTCACATGATTCTCAGACCATTTATTTTGGGTTATCAGCCACCAAAATGAATTAGATCTGACTGTGAGTGGAGACAAGCACCTGACTGAGTACTGCAGTCCAGCATGGCAGCAGCCATTACTGAGCATGACTCAGCTGAGTGTTTGAGTCCATACTGTCCCACAGCAGTTGGGGCTATCAGCTGATCTGACATCTACTGAGCTAAGACTCACAGCCTAGGAAAGATTAACATCATCAGCTGTGCAACTCTTACCCTATAGAGTTGTACCTGGGGAAGCATGAAGGAAGATGGAAAAC